GGGACAGTAGGACAGGGACGGGAGGCACGATGGTGCGCTTATGCACGCCCCTTACAGACCTCTTAGGAATGGGGTGAGGTCAATAGTGGTTAGTTTGAGGTTAAAGGTGGGTGGGGGTTAGAGGATGTAGCAACATAGTCAGGTAGAGCATTCCAGGCATTGACCACTCTGTTGCTGAAGTCTGTATTTGCAGCAATCCAGTTTGGAGTGGTTTACATTGAGGTTGTACCTGTTGTGTGCTCTTGTATTGTTGTGGTTGATATAATGGCTGTTGGGGGGGAGGGGGGAAGGGCAGTCCAAAACACCCATTTATCAAAAGACAGGTGGTTGAGCTGCCACTCCATTCCACAGGTCAAAAAGACCCGAGATGGACAATCAAGCCCAGCTTGCTTTTATGGCATAGGATTGGCCACCATCTTGCTATTTTCTGATCCCTCCTGGCCAATTATCCTGGTCACGAATAACACTCAACTTTTCTGGCTGGGGGGGGGGGGGGGTAGAGAGGAAAAGAGAATAAAAAGGGGAATAAAAAGAGGGCATTTCCTTAACTAATCTCCATGGGCTGCCTGAGTTCTCTGGCAGGTAGGATCCCTCTGTCTGCCTTTCAGTCCTTGTCGACTTCAGCCCAGTTTTTTTTGATAGGCATCGGCTGTTCCTGCAAGGGACCATCCTTTGATTCCAGACCCCAGAGGGGTCAGTTCTTTTTTCAATAAACCCTTCCAAAATCTTAGCTCTGATGAGCACAGAAAGGCTGGAAGTCAGTTCTGGAATTCCTTGGGCCTCTTAGTTGGAAAGGACCTTGGAAGGTCTTCTAGTCCAGGCGTCTCCAATCTTAGCAACTTTAAGATTTATGGACAAAGCTGGCTGAAGAATTCTGGGAGTCGAAGTCCACAAATCTTAAAGTTGCCAAGGTTGGAGACCCCTGTTCTACTCCAACCTGCTGCCCAAGCAGGAGACTATATGATTTAAGACAAGTGGTTGTCCAATCTCTCCTTAAAAGCCTTCCGTGATGGAGCACTCCAACTTCTGAAGACAATCATTGCGCTGCTTAATTGTCCTCACAATTAGGAAATTTCTCCTTAATTCCAGGTTGCTTCTCTCCTTGATTAATTTCCATTCATTGGTTCTTGTCTTGCCTTCTGGGGCTTTGGAGAACAGCAATAGCACTTAGATTTATAGACCGCTTCCCACTGGAAAGCACTTCTAAGTCAACCTCTTGCCCCCAACAATTTGGGTCCTCATTTTACCCACCTCGGAAGGACTGAGTCAATCTTGAGCTGGTGAGAATCAAACTGCCGGCAGTTGGCAGAATTAGCATGCAATACTGCGTTCTAACCACTGGGCCACCATGGCTCTCGAAATAGGTTGGACCCCTCTTCTTTGTGGCAGCCCCTCAAACATTAGGACACTGCTGTCATATGAAACATATGAAGAACGGGTGCAGGAACTGGGCGTGGCTAGTCTAGCGAAAAGAAGGACCAGGGGTGACAAGATAGCAGTGATCCAATATTTGAGGGGCTGCCATAAAGAAGAGGGGGCCAATTTGGCTATTCTCCAAAAGCACAATAATGCAAGACAAGACACGATGGATGGAAACTAATCAAGGAGAGGAGCAACCTAGAAGTAAGGAAAAATTTCCTGACTGGTGCTTTGGAAAATAGGTTGACCTCCCTCTTCTTTGTGGCAGCCCCTCAAACCCTGGAATATTGCTATCTTGTCCTTTTCACTAGACTCGCCCTTCCCAATTCCTGCCGTCCTCTTGAGCCCGCTCAGGACCCTCCACCCTCGTTTCTGGAGTTTCTACTTACGAGGCTGACGTCTTGACGTAAGTTGTGTTGAAGTGGGTCTTGGGGCATTCGGGTTTCACGCAACGGAAGCCCCCAAAGAGGTTGACGCAAATCTGTCCGCGGCTGCAGTTGTCTTGATTTGTCGCACATTCATCCACATCTGGCAAAGACAACAACCGAGAGAGTCTGTCTCAGTGGTGGGATATTCTACCAGTTTCCCTGCTAGTTTGGTGATCGCGCATTTCGCGTGTGCGTGCAATTTTCCAAAGCCCAGCTGAGGCTCTGCTGCGCCAATCAGCGGAGAGGATAAAGAAGAGAAAAGCGCAGGGGGGGCAGTGGGAGGGACGATCTTGCACTTTTCCCTTCTTTTTCCTCTCAGCTGATTGTCGGAGTTTATTTTTACTGTCTGTTTTTGCTACCAGGTCAGCCATACCGGTCCAAACCAGTAGCATTTCACCCCTGGTCTGTCTGTCTGTCTCAACGCTGGTGATCTGGAGCCCTGCAAACATTACAGACCCTCACCCTGCTCTGGGATTTTGGCAGAGGGTCAGAGCTGATCAGGGCTTCTGGCACTCTGCCACTTCGATCCCAGGAAGGACCCCCACAGCAAATAGGCAGGGATATATGGATGCCAGCTCTGTGCAACTCCTCACTGCAACGCATGCTTGCTCTGAAGAGATCAATATGGGGCAGGGCTGTGGCATCCATGCGCTGAGGGCAGCCCAGCCTCCCGGGACCTCTGGAATGAAGGGGGTCGACACTTTCAGCCCCGTGTTTTTGTATTTCATGCAGATAGTTCTCGACTTACAACAGTTTGTTCAGTGACTGTTCAAAGTTGCAATAGCACCCCAAAAAGTTATGAACGTTTTTCACCCTTATGACAGTTGCAACATCCTCAGGATCATGTGATCAAAATTCAGATGCTTTGGCAACTGGTTCATGTTTATGACCATTGCTGTGTCCTAAGGTCATGTGATCCCCTTTTGCGACCTTCAGACAAGCAAAGTGTTGGAATACATGTTAGCATGTATTTTTGTATTGCAACAACTACAGAATTATTCAGCCAGTAGATGGCAGTGTTTAGTTTGCCTCTATGGTTATAAACTACGGTTATAATCTATGTGTCAACTCCAAAAACATTTTGTATACACATTTTATAGTTGACAACAGAAAGAAGGGGCTGGAGTTTCAAAGAGGAGGCAGCAGAATCGAAAGTACCTTCCCTTCATATTTTCTTCAGAGACTGACTAAATGACTGAAGCTTCTGCCCTGCAAAAATCTTGGCTATGTGCGTTTTTTGTTGGATGAAACGCCCAGAGGGGTGGGGGAGAAAGCAGAATCAAGAGTGACAGTGAATTACGTACGTCAGAGTTGGCTCTGCCCAGGTAAATGCCGGATGTAGAATGTTACCTTCAAATAAATCTTTTTTAGTTTTGGGAAGTGTGGCTCGAGGCTCATGATTTAATTGGAGTAACTTCTGGAATCCTAACACTGTGGCTATAATCTATGATAGTTGAGAAAGTTAAGCAGCAAGGCCTAGTGTGACTGAACACTGTACACTTTATTTGGGTTGTATGGTTATATAACCGTCCTCCGCTACCAATCTATCTGGCTGTTTAATACAGATCCTCCTTTGCTTATAACAGTTCATTTAGTGACTATTCAAAGTTGCAATAGCACCGAAAAAAGTTAGGAACATTTTTCGCACTTATGACCGTTGCAGCATCGCCAGCATCATGTGATCAAAATTCAGATGCTTGGCAACTGGTTCATACTTACGACCGTCACTATGTCCTCAAGCAACTGTGCAATAAGCAAAGTCAATGGGGAAGCCAGATTCACGTAACAACTAGGTTACTAACTTGTCAACTGCAGTTATTCACTTAACAATGAAAGGTCATAAAATGGGACAAAATTCACTGAACAACTTACTTAACATAAATTTTGGGCTCAATGATGGTCGTAAGTCGAGGACTACGTCTAATCCTCTGCTACAATTTCCATGCAATTAAAACAAAGTTTCTACAGAACAAAACAGAATTTTGAACACAAAGCCAAGGGGGAAGCCGGATTCACTTAAAAAAACTGGGTTACTAACTTGCCAAGTGCAGTGATTCACTTAACAACTGTGGCAAGAAAGGTCATAAAATGGGGCAAAATCCTCACTGAACCAATGCCTTGCTTAAGAACAGAAAACTTGGGCTCAATTGTGGTTGTAAGTCAAGGACTACCTGTACTTTAAAACACACACACACACACAGAGCTCTGCCTCTGATCATCAACTTTTAATGACCCCATAATCCCTTGCAGGGTAGTCTGGGAAATTGAATGGAGCTGAGTGTTTACTGGCTGGATGCCCTTCTTGTCACCAATGCAGAGTTTTGTTCAGCAGATATACATTCTCATCGTGCCCAGAGAGAGAAATATCTGCCTCTACCTGGGATCGAACTCATAGCCTCCTGATTGTGAGGCGAGAGCTCTGTCACTAGGCCATTGCACCATTCACACAGCGAGCCTGATGAGGGTAAAGGGGTTCTACAAGTTCTACAATTTATTAACGAGGATGGGAAGGACTCACCGCTGCAGATGTTCTGCTCAGCCTGAAACTGGTAGCCGGGCGGACAGGTGCACTGATAAGACCCAGGTAGGTTCACACATTCGTGGAGGCAGATCCGGGTGTGATAGTTGGATTGGTACAGCTGGCACTCATCCACATCTGCAGCAGGGCAGAAAGCTGTTGAGTTGGGTCCCCAGGGGAAAGAAAGGAACTCCCCAATCCCCTGACAGATTAACAGAGATGGAAGGGACCTTGTAGGTCATCTAGCCCAACCCCCTACCCAAACAGGAGACCCTATATCATTTCTGACAGGTGACAGTCCATTCTCTTGAGAGCTTCCAGGGATGAAGCTCTCACAACTTCTGAAGGCAACTTCCGTTCCGTGGGTTGATTGTTCTCATGGTCAGAATATTCCTCCTTATTACCAGGTTGAATCTCTCCTTGTTCAGTTTCCATCCATTATTCCTTGTCTGGCCTTTCGGGGGCCTTGGAAAACAGCTTGACCCCTTCCTCCTCTCTGGGGCAGCCCCCCCTCAAATATTGGAAGATGCTCCCCTGTCTCCCCTGGTCCTTCTCTTTCAGGCCTTCCTGAACTTCTGGGAGGCCCATTTTCCACCCTCCCTGAGCCTCCACACGCTCCCTGCAGATACCTGCATCCAAAACGGGCCGCGTGGGGATTCCGGGGAGGGCGAGGCCAGCCAGGAGTGGGATTTGGGGGTTCTCTGAACTGCACAGAATCTTAGTTGGGGGCCCTCCCAAACCCCTGTGACCCCCCAGCAGCCCCCCTATATAGAATTACTCGTGTGCCCCCACCCCATAATCTTACCTTGACACACGCCTCCCCTCGTCAACAGGAAGCCGCCATCGCAGCTGCATTGGCGGGAGCCCCCCGGATGCTCGATGCAGTGGGGTTGACGGCTGAACGTTGCGTTGCTCACAGCTGCCCTGTCTGTGGTCAAGAGGTGGACGTTAGGGTGGACGTTAAGTGAGACAAACGAGCAGAGCAGGCGTTGGGGAAGAGGTGGCTCCTCGCTGCACAGGCTTTTTACAGCCTCCGCTAGAGGTAGTGCTCTACTTATGACCGGTTATTTAGTGACTACAGGTAGTCCTCCACTTACAACAGTTCCTTTAGTGACCGTTCAAAGTTACAACGGCACTGAAAAAAAGTGACTTATGACCGTTTTTCACAAGTTACGCCCGTTGCAGTATGGCCATAGTCATGGGATCAAAATTCAGATGCTTTTTCAGATGATTCGTACTTATGATGGTTGATTCGTACTTATGACTCCTGGGGACAGGAGACCCTACAGTATTTCTGACAGATGGCAGTCCAGTCTCTTCTTGAGAGCTTCCAGTGATGAAACTTCCACAACTTCCGAAGGAAACTTCTGTTCCATGGATTGATTGTTGTCCCTGTCAGAAAGTCTCTCCTTATTTCCAGGTTGAATCACTCCTTGACCAATTTCCACCCATGATTCCTTGTCTGGCCTTTGGGTGCCCTGGAAAATAGCTTGACCCCCTCCTCTTTTTGGAGGCAGCCCCTCAAATATTGGAAGATGCTCTCCTGTCCCCCCTGGTCCTTCTCTTCCCTAGACTAGCCAGGCCCAGTTCCTACAACCATTCATGGTTCATCGTATGTTTAGTGTTGAGTCCCCTAATCTTAACAGATTAACAGAGTTGGAAGGGATCTTGTAGGTCATCTAGTCCAACCCCCAGCCCAAAACAGGAAACTCCCCCAACTTCCAAAGGCAACTTCTGTTCCTTGGGTTCCATGGGTTGAGGGCACAACAGCGACGGCATTTTCTGCATCCTATGAGAAAAACACACCTTCCTTCCCTCGTCCTAACCACTTTCTAGAGAGGGACATTGACAGCCTCCTGTTGTATATTATATTACTGCTTGGTTTGGAAGTACAAGTAGACCTTGACTTACAACAGTTCTTTTAGTGATCATTCAAAGTTACAATGGCACTGAAAAATGTGACTTAAAAGATAACAGATAATCAGAGTTGCAATCTGGTCCAATGGAGGCCTCTGGCAATTAAACACTGACCCTCTCAAAGCAGGTGTGATGCAGGGGGTCAGAATATATCGCTCCGGGGTTGGGAACCCGCACATCCAAGTCCCTGCTTGGAAAGTGTCCTCCAATATTTGAGAGGCTGCCACAGAGAGGAGTAGCGGGTCAGGCTATTTTCTAAAGCACCCAAAGGCCAGACAAGAAATAATGGATGGAAACTGAACAAGGAGAGATTCAACCTGGAAATAAGGAGAAACTTTCTGACAGTGAGAACAATCAATCAGTGGAACAGGAGTTTCCTTCGGAAGTTGTGGGAGCTTCATCCCTGGAGGCTTTCAAGTAGAGACTGGACTGTCACCTGTCAGAAATGGTAGGGTCTCCTGCTTGGGCGGGCGGTTGGACTAGATGACCTACAAGGTCCCTTCCAACTCTGATTATCTCTTATCTGTTGTTTTGCTAATGCAGCCCCAAGGATAGGGGAGGGATTCAACCAGTGTAACAAGCAGTTCGGTGAGCGCACGCTTTGCACACGCAAGCAGCGTTTGCAACTCCCCTTCTGCTGCAAAGCCTGTGTGTAAAAGAGCTGAGGTGCAGCAATCTGCGGTGCCTTGCGAATCAGCTGAGCTGGAAAACCCGGAAATAAAGCACAGACTAGAGCCCGGCTGGGCAGGCCCAACAGCTGATCGTCGGTTCACTCACAAGCTGATCTTTGGAGCAACCGGTTCGCCCGAACCGGCCCGAACCGGTAGAATCCCCCCCCCCACCGCCCAGGCCGTTCTGTCACTTACGGGCATGAAGGGCAGCCTGGCAGTTGCTCCCTGACCAGCCGCTGGGGCACAAGCAGCTGTAGCGAGGACCAGCATCCACACAGGTCCCTCCGTTGGCACAGGGCCGACTGGCACAATCGCTGGTGCCTGGTTGGGGAATAAAAGAACGAAGAGATGCTTCGCTTGGCCAAGGGTTGAGATGCAGCCCTCGCCTCCCCTGGCAGGACTCCGGTTGTGGCCGAATGCCACCCGCTCTGCAGACACAGGAACAAGGGGCGAATGTTGTATAAAAGACCGTGTCAACTCATAAAATATTTCTCTGGTCTTTTTAGAGTCGCCAACAGAAAGGGAGGGGGGAGCAGTGCGGCCACTTGCAAACTGAAACTGCATTCCATAAGTTACGATATACCCAGGGGGCGGAGGAAAACCAGCAACAGTTCGAAGTTACAACGGCGCTGAAAAAAGTGACTTGTGACCGTTTTTCATGTTTATGACCGTTGCACCACACTCCTGGCCATGTGACCAAAATTCAGATGTTTGGCGACTGGCTCATCCTTACAACTATCGCTGCGTCCCAAAGACACGATTGCCTTTTGCAACCGTTCGACAAGCAACGTCAATGGGGAAGCCAGGTTCAGTTATTTACTCATTTAACACCTGCAGTTATTCACTTAACAACGGTGGCAAGAAAAGTCGTAAAATGGGGCAAAACTCTGTAACGGAGAAATCTGTTGAGTGAGCTTTGTCCCTTTTTATGACTTTTCTTGCCACTGTTGCTAAGTGGATCACTGCAGATGTTAAGTTTCTCTGTTAACATAAATTCAGGGCTCAATTGTGATCGTTAAGTTGAGGCAACCTGGATGCACACCTGGGAAGCGAGTGTCATGGTGTTGAGAATTAATAGCTGACCAATAGGCTGATGCAATGAGGATGAATCAGCAAGGTAATTGCCACTTTAAGACTGAGGATGGGTCCCACGGGGTTTTACCACTTTAAGAAGCTGTCTATATATATGAAGCTATGAGAGGGTGTGTCTCTCTCTCCTTCTGTTCTGTCTCCATTGTGGCTCTCTGTGCAGAGTAATGAAGATTGATTGCTTGCCAGGGATTTGCCTACCACATATATATAAGTATATAGCTGTCTGGTATAAAAACCATTGTTAAAAGACAAAGCCTCTGTCTGTGTGCTCTATTTTGCTTCTGGGTTGTCTCACAATAGGAGTCATACTGCAAACACTCTCACAGTGTGACTGCTTAAAAGTCAGGATCACGAGTGGGAGGCCTCCGTGGCCACCTACTTTTGCAGAAGGCCTGCTGTCCACTCCAGGTTCTGTTCTTCAAGCAGACCCGCGTCTCAGACCCGGTCAGCGCAAAGCCAGGATTGCAGACAAAATGGACCTCCTTCCCAATGGCCGTTCCCCTGCCCAGCCTCCTGCCATTGGAGGGTGCAGAAGGAGGCGTGCAGCTCTCTGCAGGGAGCAAGAAGGAAGAAGAAACAAGGTGGAAACGTTTTCTTGGCTCCTCGGAATATTCCCGGTTTAATCAGAAAGGCCTCAGAGCTGAGAAATCCCAACTGCAAAGGACCAGGCCGCGTTGCTAATTTCTTGTGGCATCTCCGTTCATAGAAACTTCAAAGAAAAAGAGTTGAGGGGTGGGAATTTAAAAACTTCCCGAGCAAACTTCAAAGGTTATTTTCCAGTGGGGAAAATGCCAGCAGACTCAAACACAGTCTTCCCGTGAAATCGGTTGTGGTTAAAAAATAAATAAAATAAAACCAAATAAAATAGTATCTGAAATGCTCTTGGATTTATTTTAACCAGGATGCATTAAATATACAGTATGATGAATCCGAATAGATCCCTTCAGCTCTATTCTGATAGATTAATTCTTAAAAACCTCCACAACTTCTGAAGGCAAAGCCGTTCCACTGGTTGATTGTTCTCACTGTTAGGAAGTTTCAGGCTGCCACCTCCATCACTTGTAACTAACAGGACCACTGGAAGAAATTTGCCCCCTTCCTTTTCCTTCTCCCCCGTTTCCCCTTTTCCTTTGGTGACATGTCTTTTTTAGACTCTAACTGTTAGCTAATTCCAAGGAATAACGTGGGTTAAATAATCAGCAAAGACCTTTCTATTATACCCTGTCAGATTTGGAAGGAGCCTGATTGCAGATAATCCACAACAAGTCTATTGGTCTTCTACAAGGCAGATCTGGATTCAAATCCAGCCTTGAAACAACCCACCTGTCAACTCATAAAATATTTATCTGGTCTGTTTAGAGTTACCAAAAGAAAGGGAGGAGGGAACAGTGCAGCAGCTCACAAACCAAAATTGCATTCCATAAATGTTTTCAAAGATAGTAACTAGATAGTAACTCAGATAGTAACTGACTGAAGTTTCTGCTGTGCAAAATTCTAACTGGAGAGCATGATTGATGACTCTGGGCTATGGAACTGTCCCATTGGAGAATATGAATTATGATACACCCGGGGGTGGGTGGGTGACAATGAATGATGTGTCTCAGAGTCTGCTACACCCAGGCAATGCCGGACAGTTTAACTCCCAATAAATCATTTTTAAGTTTTGGAAGTTTGGCTCGAGACTCATGATTTAAACGCGGGTCACTACCGGAATCCTGACACCACCTAGCAAGGTTGGACACATGTCAGTATGGCTGAGAAAAAAAACTTCATTCATTTTCATTCCAATGAAATCAACTCCACACCCTTTTCCCCTGGATTTTGCGGTCTCTGATTCCACGTGGAGGGGTGTGTGAGGTGTGTGTGTCAAAAGAAGCAAGATGGTGCCGGTAACCTACACAATAGATGCCACCTTGACTTTTTTGGCCCACCTCTTGGTTTGCCCTTACCATTCTGCTTAGCCGGCGGCTTTTGGGCACCGGCTGGCAGGAGCGCCAGCTGCTTCTTCAGGTTTCGCAGGCTGCGCATCTGGGCCACCTCGTAAGCCGAGAGCAGCTTCTGCATCTGTTGGATGGTGGCTGCGACGTGTTGCTTGCTCAGGCAGTTCTGGGCAGAGGGAGGAGAGTGGAGCCAGTTGGGAAGGAGCCCCCCCCCACACCCCGAAATCAGATCAGCCTAAAACAGGGGTGTTAAACTCAAAGCCTGTGGGCCAGATTCGGCCTGCGGGGAGCTTAGATCTGGACCATGGAGTTGCCCTGGAACTGTTTATCTATTTTGACAACAAACATTGACAAATACAAACATAAAACATCAAATAAAACCATCTTCCCATTATACAGTATGTTGGTTGGTACATATCTCTTGTGCACAATACCAACAGTCTTTTCCTTCTAAATTTAGATTAGAATTCATATTATATAGATCAACTATGCATACTACATTATTATTATTGACTCCTTATTAGACTGTAATTATAAATTCACATCATCCTTTTTGAGCAAATCTCAACTTTTACAAACCTAGTTCATAATATCATTCATTTCATAATCAGTTGTATTATATCATTACATTATCTTATCTTTACTATTATGCTATATTATTATATTTTATTTCCCCATTTTCTTATCTAACCATTGATAAACACAAATCCCATATTTTATAATATTCTTTATCTTCTTGCTCTCTAATTTCTAATATTTACTCATTTCTGCACATTCTATTATTTTCTTAATCACCTCCTCCTCTATTGGAATTTTTTCACTTTTCCAGTTTTTAGCAAATACAATTCGAGTTGCTGTTAAAACATTGGGACTTGAACTCTTGATTCTGTAGTTGCCATCTTGACTTTTCTGACCTCACACTCTTCTGTGGACACTGTTGCTACAAGGAATTATGGGAACTCTATTTCCCAATGTACTGGGAGAGGCAACTTTGGACATGCACGTTTTAGATCGTGATCACAGACGGTTGTAAGTTGCCAAAGAAAACTTTTGGAGAGCGAAGTCTAAATATTGAGAATGCATGAATAAATGAATATCCTTGGCTTTTGGCTCCTGGCCACCCAACCCAGGAACAGCCGGTCTGGGTCTCCTCGGTTCCCCAGCCCCATGCTCCTGGGCTCTTGTTCTGACCCAACTGGGTTCCCACAGAGCAAACACAGACCAAGGCAGCAGCCCCCACCTTTTAAAGTTTAATAACAAACGCTGTTCCTTTACAGATAAAAGGCTGCTTTCCACCAATTAGCTCCGACAAGAAAGAGCCTCGCCAAGATGTTCATCAATGCTGCCAAAAACCCTGAGATAAGAATTTACAAAATTCTCCAAACACGAACTAAGATGTCCACAAGTTGAGCTTCAGAGCTTCTTTGCTGTCTGCAAAGAACGCTTTTACAAACCTGGCTTTTATCCTCTTGAGGGAGGGGCCACTACCTTGCAGCCTTACTCCCGAGTCGCCTGTGCTGCTGTAACTGCTTCTTCCTCTGAGCAATCCTGTGTGCATGTGCACTTGGCACAGGCTCCTCGGGAACCTCCTCATCGCTGCTGCCAACCCCCACAATCTCTTAAGGCAGCAGTCCACTCCCTGGTGGTCCTGGCCCCTCATCTGAGTCCTCGCTCTCCTCAGCCATCTGCACCTGCTGTCAGCTAACCACAACAGCTCTGCTGGGCTTCACCTTTTCTCAGCCCTTTTCCACGTCCTCTTACCTGGGCACTGCTAAGGGGCAGAGGCAGGATCCCAAGGACCATCACGAGGGCGGCTAATCTGGGTAACATCTTCTGCTCTCCAAGAGGTGGGAGAAGGGGAATAGCTTCCTGCAGCATCCTCCCCTCTCCGTAAACTAAGGAGGAGACGAGAGAAGAAAAGTTAAATGAAGCTGGACATTCAGTTCTGGTCATTGGCAAAGAAGTCAACATTCTATTCCCAGTTTAGAATGAAGGAGCTGGAAGGGACCTGGGAGGTCTTCTAGTCCAGCCCCCTGCTCAAGCAGGAGAACCTATACTATTTCAGATAAGTGACTGTCTAGAGCAGTGATGGATGAACCTATAGCATGTGTGCCACAGGTTGTTCTGACCCATACTCTTTTCCAACAAACAATCCAAAAGGAACAGAAACCTTGTAGTGCTTTTGCAAAATAATTAGCTGTGATAAGCACAAGCCTTGACAAACTGTGGTAGACTTGCCAAAAGATAACAGACAAGAAATAATTTGCAAAATAAGAATCTTCAAATACAAACTCAGGATACTAGAATGCCCACGAGGCTGGAGTTTCAAAACGTCTTTGCCTTCTGCAAAGTATGTTCGTTTCACAGCCGGCTTTTATCTTCTTGAAGTATGGGCCATTACCTTGCAGCCTTACTCCCGAGTCGCCCGTGCTGTTTTAACTGCTCTTTCCTGTGAGCAATCCTGTGTGCATGTGCACTTGGCACAGGCTCCTCGGGAACCTCCTCATCGCTGCTGCCAGCCCCCACAATCTCTGAAGGCAGCAGTCCACTCCCTGATGGTCCTGGCCCCTCATCTGAGTCCTCGCTCTCCTCAGCCGTCCGCACCTGCTGCTGGCTAACCACAACACAGGTGGCATGCAAAGCCCTCTTTGCGGGCACGGCAGCTATCACCCAGCCCAGCTCCACTGCCCACGCACATGCCTCCTGGCAGCCAGCTGCTGTTCGGGTCTCTGCCACGCATGCACGGGGGTGGGACCTTCGACGATCTTCACAGTTTCCCCACCAGTGTGCCCTACCTTTCTCCATTCCTGCCACCCGTGCCTTCCCAGATCTCCGCATGCTCCACCCTCTGCGGGTGCCTCTCCGTGGCAGGCATGGAGGAGAACGCCTGGGTGTGCTGGGGGCAGGAGGAGGAGAAAACCTGTGGAGATTGTGAGCCCCCCCCCGTGCCCCTTTTGGGGCCTGAAAAGCCTCCTGTACCAACTTGGAAGCCAAAACGGGGGACGGAGGCCAGGGTGCATGCGCAGGGGGCCCACATGCATAAGGAATGCATGGGGCGGGGTGCATTTTGGGGTTGGGGGCCTGCGCATGTGCATTCATGCACATGCTTTGGGCACTCGGCACCAAAAAGCTTAACCATCACTGGTCTAGAGAATCTTCTTAAAAACCTCCAGGGATGGAGCGCCCACGGTTTCTGGTGTCAAGCTGTTCCACCGGTTAATTGTCCTCCCTGTTAGGAAGTTTCTCCTCAATTCCAGGTTGCTTCTCTCCTTGATTAGTTTCCATCCATTGTTTCTTTTCTTGCCTTCTGGTGCTTTGGAAAATAAATTAACTCCCTCCTCTCTGTGGCAGCCCTTCAAATATTGAAATACTTCTATTATGTCACCCGCTGGTCCTTCTCTTCCCAGCCAGCCATGCCCAGTTCCTACAATTGTTCTCCGTATGGTTTAGTCTTCAGGCCTTTAATCCTCTTAGTTGCTCTTCTCTGAACTTTTTCCAAGGTCTCAACATTTTTTTTTTGTCCTTCTCCGGCAAAGGAGAGCAGACCTTCTCCACCATTTTCCTTCCCGACCCATCCCACATTTTGGGAAGAGATTGCAAACCAACACGAATCGACTTATTCTTCAAAGCTGCTGACGACAGGACAAGAAGCAACGGATGCCAGCCAGCCAGCCAGAGGAAGATCCAACCTGGAAATAAGAAGGGGCTTCCTGACAAGGAGAAGGATTAAGAAGGGAGCAGCTTGACTCCTGGAGTTGGGCTGTCAAGAAAAGATTGGACAGCTGTTTGCCTGGGATGGAATAAGGATTGCTCTTCTCTTGGGAGTCTATTGGAGGGTGCCTGGGTCAGCCCCCCTCCCCAGCCCCTGGGGGTGGGGGCAAGGTGTTGTCAACTGGAGGAACACATTGGGCTCCCCAGCTTGTCTTAACAGAGTTGGAAGGGACCTTGTGGGTCATCTAGTCCAACCCCCCACCCATACAGGAGACACCATTTCTGACAGATGGCAGTCCAGTCTCTTTCTTGAAAGCCTCCAGGGATTAAACTCCCACAACTTCCGAAGGCAACTTCTGTTCCACGGGTTGATTGTTCTCACTGTCAGAAAATTCCTCCTTATTTCCAGGTTGAGTCTCTCCTGGTTCAGTTTCCATCCATTATTCCTTGTCTGGTTCTCAGGTGCTTTAGAAAACAGCTTGACCCCCTTCCTCCTCTCTGGGGCAGCCCCTCCAATATTGGAGCACTGCTCTCCTGTGCCCCCTGGTCCTTCTCTTCTCTCGAGTAGCCAGGCCCAGATCCTGCAACCGAGCTGAAGGGGAGGGTGGGGGTGTCTGGAAAGGGTCCCCCCCCCCCCCCCTCCCCCGTGCCGGGGGAACCCCCCGGGGCCCCCCAAACCCCCCCCGCCGTCCCCCGACCCGCCCCCCCCCCCCCCCCGCCCCTTGCCGGGGCGGCGGGGGGAGGGGGGGGGGGGGGGGGGCGAAGCCAGACGGGGGCTGAGGTGGCGGGGAGGGCGGGGGGCGGGAGCTAACCTGGACGATGCCCCTCAAAAGCCTCCGATGTGGCTGCGGGCCCCTCCCTTCCACCCAAAGGCGGGTGGAAAAGAGCCGGGATGGCATGAAGGGGGCGGCGAGGGGACCCACCTGGCTGAGGGTCTCCCCGGCAAGGCTCCTCTCCTCCTGCCCGTCAAGCGCTCGCCCGGCTGCCTTTTATAGCCCCCCCCTACGCCCCCCCCCGGCCGGCCAGCCAGGCCTCGCCCCGCGTGGGAGGCGGAGGCGCCTCTGCTGGGCAGCCGCTCCCTGGACGGGGCGGGGGAGGTGGGTGGTCGCCTGTCCCGCAGCCGGGCTTCCCGCCCCCCGCTCCCCCCCCCCCAGTCCGGGTGCTGGGCTTTGGCCGTCGAAGGAGCCGCGGGGGCGGTGGAGGCAGCAGCCCTTCCTTAAGCGGGCGGCCGACGGGTGCGGGGTGGGGGGCGCGGGGGGTGGGGGGGTCTTCGAGCCGCCCTCATGTGAAACTTTTGGAACGATCCAATGGAGCAGAAGCTTCTGGAAGCTTTCAAGAAGAGGTCGGGCTGCCCTCTGTCAGAAATGGCGTAGGGTCCCCGGCTTGGGCGGGCGGGGGGGGGGGGGGGCTGGACTGGATGACCTCCAAGGTCCCTTTCCAGCTCTATTCTGATTGATTCAACCAAAAAACAAGGAGAAATTTTCTGACAGAACTATCAACCGATGGAGCAGAGACTGTCTACTCTTGACCTCACCCCTTTCCTGAGAGGTCTGCATGAGCACACCCACGGGCCTACGGTCCCTGTCCTATTGTTTCTTTTACTTTATTTTTATTTTTCTTATATGTATCCATGTATTCATAACTATGTTTTTTTTTACTTATACTTGTAAGCAATTGACATAAAGAAAGAAAGAAAGAAAGAAAGAAAGAAAGAAAGAAAGAAAGAAAGAAAGAAGGAAGGAAGGGAGGACGGAAGGAAGGAAGGAAAGAAAGAAAGAAAGAAAGAAAGAAAGAAAGAAAGAAAGAAAGAAAGAAAGAAAGAAAGTAAGTTAGTTGCCTTCAGAAGTTGTGGGAGCTTCATCCCTGGAAGCTTTCAAAAAGAGACTGGGCTGCCATCTGTCAGAAATAGGGTAGGGTCCCCTGCTTGGGGGTAGTGGTGGACTGGATGACCTACAAGGTCCCTTCTGACTGTTAATCTGAATAAGGGGGGAACACACACACACACACAGAGACATACGCACAGACCACAAGTGTGGGGTTGCCTTGAGAGGCTTGAAAATAAAACCTGGCCTCCAACATGGAGCTGAGGAGAAAAACAAACCAACCAGCAGCTCTTCCTGAAGCGAAGATGAAGGCCAGCTCTTCTCTGAAAATACTCAGGGGGATGGGGGGATTCAAGCAACCACTTTGGAAAAGCCTCCATAGCAGGGTGGGAGGCTGGGGGGAGGGCTGGATCCTCAGCCTTCCTAGCAAAGAAGGGGACCCCCCCCCTCCATTTTGCTGGCCCTGTTGAAGAGAAACCACAGCTGGAGACCTCCCCCTCCCCCCCCCGTGTCCCAGGAAAGGTGCCAGGGATGGGCGAAGAGGAAGGGCGGGGGGGGGGGGGGGGGGGCCCCCCCGCGCCCCCCAAAAAGGGGGGGGGGGGGGGGGGAAGCTGCCAGCCTGGGAAAGAAGCCCGGCCTGGGGGAGGGGGGGTGCAGGAGGAGCGTGGCCCCCAGGCAGAGGCAGAGAGCCAGGTCGGTGCTGATGCAGCCCCCCCTGCCCCCCCAGGTATGAGGGATGTGGGGAGGCTGGCAGGCTGCAAGGAAGCGAGCAGAGACTTAAACAAGCCCAGAGACCAAAGGCAACTCAGCCCAGGCGCCAAGAAACCTCCTAAGACGCCCGTTCAGATTACTCAGGGAGGCTCCACCTCAATGAATCTCTTTTTAAAAAGGGAGACAGAAGGCTATTGAGCCTGGGGTGTCCTTCTCAGCATTTCCAAGACTTTCACCTTGGGTTGAGGAGGGCTTATGCAAGGAGCTTGGGAGCTCTTTTTTCCGACCAAAACGGGTTTTACGGACACTCTCCAACAGCAGTTTGCTTCATTTGGCTGCATCGCAAGGATTGACCGATGGCAGGTTAGTTTTGACTCCATGACCATAGGATGGATGGTTGTGTGGATGGATGGAAGGATGGTTTGCTTGCCTGTGGAGATTCAGGAACAGCCAAGATGAAGGCCTGCACTGAACCTCAGTGTCTAATGGACGTTCCTGCCACACCACTGAGCTGGACTCGCACCAGAGATGGTATTCAGCAGGTTCTCACCTGTTTTGGAGAACCAGTAGCAGAAATTTTGAGTAATGCAGAATCCCACCTCTGAGTGGCCCCATCAACCCCATCTATTCTCTGCCTCCCAAGTCCCAGCTGATGGGCTGGGTCTTCTTTTGTTGCCCTGCATAGGAGAACGGAGCTGGAAAGCAGGTTAGTGGGGTGGGGAGGGAAGGGGGATTTTGCAGTATCCTTCCCCTGCCACGCCCACCAAGCAATGCCTACCAAGCCATGCCCACGGAACCAGTAGTAAAAACATTTGACTCCCATTACTGACCCATCTCCAAGTGGGTGCTGGGAAAGGTTGACCATCTTGTCGAATGGCACTGGCTCCACTAAGAAAGCCACCCTACTAGGGGCCCAAGAGGCCCCAGGGTTCAGAGCAAGGGTGATCTTTCCAAATGTGATGACCCGGAGTCTCTCAAAATAACCCCAAACCCAAAACATACATTCAAGTCTGGTAAGGCCTTCAACTTAACTTCCCTGTTTTGTTAGGCACAGTTTAAAGTCACAAAAGTAAATGAGGCTAACAGAAAATCAAAACAAACCGCATTGATGAGAGTTCCGAAGCAAGCCAAGAGGACTAATCATAAACTCCAAGAAAATAACCGAGAAAAGTCCATGGGAAAAACGCCAGCAAAGATAAACCTCTTTCAAGGTGAACACTAAATTGACTCCTGCAAATTCTAACTGCGCAGTTGCAAATTTATATACATAGCTCCCACCTGCAAGCCACGAGGAGGATCATGGTAATCTCCTCTTGAGTAGACCTCGCTTTTCCCTGATCCTCTCCTCCCTGCGTGCCCTAGGATGGAGAGGGGATGGGCCTGGGTCCTCCTCTGACTGCCCAGCCGGCCTCTGCCCTTCCCCAGCCTCCTCCACCACCTCTGGAGCCACACTCCCACTCCCTGTTGGCTGTTCCTCCTCTTCCTCAGAGTCAGTCTCCATCAGGGGCATGACACCAAACAAGATTACTTCTCTATGAATATTTTATCTGCTAAGGCAATTCTCTTCTGCTGAAAGCAAAGGAGTTGAAAACC